AAGATTGCGAACCAAACAGCCAGTTAACCACAGAAAAGAATGATAAAGACGAACTTACTTTTGTTGTGGCGGGGCGCAGGTGATGGACGAGAGGGGGTGACTGGGGGTGACTTGGCTGGATCGTGAATCACACGGAATTGAAGTTTCGCGCACAGATTCTAACTGAATATTTCGCTAACAGCTTCAAAGGGTCCTGTCTGTGGAGGTGTAAAATGAAGAGAAGAGAGAGCGATCCGCTCCAACTCGCGGTTTATAAAAGGTTCCGGAAGGGTGGGAATATCTGAGGGCATGATTGAATTTCTGTGTTGGCTGTCGAATGATAGTTTAGAAAAATTGTGAATATAAGGGAAGGAGAGAAGCAGCGTTCTGTGGATTATAGTTGTTTTTATATTTCCGGATTTCCTGGCGAATGACGGAATTAGTTAGTGAAAATTTCATTCGCCATTCCACACCCTCAATTATTCATTGGTGTGCCCGCCAACGGCCGCTAATCGCTTCCTCTTGATTGGCGTCCTTAGTTTCCCCATCAGTTTGAGGAGTGTCGCCGTCGAACGATCCCGGCGCGTTTCTCATGCGTTAGAAATTTGATTTTATTAATATTTCGAATTTTATTAGTATGTTATAAATCTTTCGGCGCCGACAAAGCTGTTTTCCACAAAGAATTATTTTTTTTTTAATGGCGAGATGTGTCTCGAAAGGAATTTTTGTATATTTGTTCAGGATCTTTCTAAATCGCTCGAAGCACTTCGTTTCCCGATTAGCAGCCGTTATCTTTTTCCGAAAGAGAAGAATTCGTGAAGTCCCCCGGACGTAACATAGGGAGGGGAACAGAAGAAAATAAAATTAAGGAGAATATAAAGATTTGAAGGAAGAGAATTAAGACTCGGGGAAGGAGTTCAGGATAGAGAGATACAATTCGGAGAGTAAGTCCGTATCGCTCTGTTTGTTCAGGCCTTGTGGTTGCTTTTTAATATGCACCATTTCAGAAACAAGTCTCTTTGTACAGTAAGATTTCTTGTTCAAAATTTTGGCTTTCTCCCAATCGAATGAATGATTTTGGGAAGACCGGTGCATAGAAACCGCGGAGGGAGTGCCACTTTTTTTATTAATGTCGGTAATGTGTTCATGGAATCTCATCTTCAATTATCTTTTTGTTTATCCTACATACATGACCTCACAGTCATTGCAACTAATTTTATAAACTACATCACCAGTCGATTTAATTTGCCTTTGCCCGTGGTAATGAATCTTTTTAAAGTATTTGACATGAAAAAAGCAATCCTAACATCAAATTTTCTGGTCAGCGATGGGAAGCTCTCGGAGATGTTGCGATCGTAAAGAACTATAAAAAAATTTTTTTTGGTAGTCCCAGGTTTTCTTCTTTATCTTTAAAATTTGGTTTCTTATAAAAAAGGTATTTTAATCTATTCCTAATTCTTTTCATAGTAAAATCTAAAGGATAACTATTGTTCAATAGAATATTTATTGATTCTCGTAAGTTCTTGAATTGAAATTGGATGGAAACATGGATGGATGTGACAACCGGCCATGTGATCATTACTTTGTCAACTATGCCATAAATAATGTCTTTTTTATACCCTCCAAGAGATGGTGTGAATTATAATGTAAAAGTAGGTATAATGTAAAAATATCTCCCAGAAAAGGTGGGTTTATAGAAGCAATCGAATAGATCTTGATCCTGTCATTCTCAATGATGATCAGGACATTAAGGAAGCTAAGACGACGATTAATTTCTATTTCGATCGTAAATTTAAGTCGTTCGTGTAATTAAAGATTTAAAGAGTTAAAGATTTCCAATATTACATTTAAACTCAATCATTATTGTTATTGTTATTGTTGCTTGGTTTTGATCAGGGACCGAACCGAAACCGAAACTGATAACCGGATTATAACTGTTATTTCAGTTGGACCGAAACTGAAAACCGGACTGAATATTGAGCAGCCTGATGGACCGGAACCGTAACCAAATCGAAAATTTTTTTTCGGTTTTCGATCCAATTTTCGGTCCAGTTTTTGATTCGGATTTGATAAATATTTTATAAGGCTGGATCTACAGTAAGGTCGCAAGGTCGTAATAGCGGTCATAACATACTCGCGATAGTCAATCAAAGCGTTCTGATTGGCCGTTTCAACTAATAACGACTGCTATTGCGATCTATTATAAACCCCGCCTAAGAATTATTTATTTGGAGAAATTGGAAAATCGCTAATGGCAGCTCATTAAATTGATCGAAGTCCAAATGCCGATATGTATATGGCGATGCAGACATTTCCGCGCTCCTGTGCCCACTTGAGAGGCATAGAGATGATGATATGCCTTCGTCGAGCGTGCTTGGCCGTGCTGAAGAGCATTTCAGTACTTTTTGGTTATGATTCGGGATGTTGGCTTTTTTAAGCTTACTCTCTTGCAAGATGTTGCTTTTCGAGAATCCGAGAACGAAAAGATGGGACAGATGAAATAGAAAGGATCTCTCTGAGCTTTTTGCTTATACGAGACTTTGATATTTCGGACGGAAATCGGATTGGCCTCGAATTTCGGATAAAGATTTCCCTCCACAGAAGCGGAAAAAATATCGGCAAATAATTGATTTTAGACAATTAAGATTCGGAGAGAACGATCGGAGTGGAGGTAACTGATTCGGATTCGGAGCGAGGGAAAAAGAAAGATGTTCGGAGGTATGGTAATGGCGCGGTGCGAGATGCTCGCTTGTGTATTACAGCACGGTACTTGATGTGGAATGAGAAGCATTCTAGTTTGGTGGCGCAATATAAGGAGCATAGCGCTATCGGAACAAAGCGCAAAAATGCACTTTGTTATAAGATCATATACATAATAGATATATTCAATACTTTAATATAATATTTAAAAAATTAATAAAAGGTCGGTTAAAAATTAAATCATAAACTGTGACCATACATGTTTACAATAAAAATTAATAAACTTTTTCTTGTAAATATTATTTCAGTTCATATAATTTTTTTGTGAAAAATAAATATTTTATCGCCTGTACTTATTATTTGCAAAAATATAGCTTTTTATAATCAATTAATAAAAATTTTTATATAAATATATAATAACCTCTATCTTCGTTTTGTTCATTAGATTATATCTTTGTAAAATATGAATTATAATTATAATTCAAGATGGCTATGAACCAACAAAAGCTTTAATAAATTTAAGATATATATATATATCTTAAATAAAAGTCACCTTCACTTTTTTAAATGGAACTGCCCAATTTAATATTATACCATGTGGATTTAAATCGAACACCTATATATATTTTATA